CCCGGGTGTCTGGGGCCTGTGCGCCGTGGCGGGAGAGGCCACAACAGGGAGAGGCCTGCGTACCCCAAAAAAAAAAAAAAAAAAAGAAGCTATTTCAGCAACTGTGATTGGCATAAACTAGTTTAACTTTAATTAGATATAAAACTTAAGAATAAAACAAAGTGATGTAGAAAAGCTTGGCTATGTCTAGTACAGATAAACCACAAAGCCTCTCTTTGCACTGATGTCTGAGGTTCCATATTGATTTTTTAGAATATCTTTTTCTTTTCAAGACAAGATACGTTATACACAAAGCCATAATAGGATGTGGATCAGGTAATTTGCCCTCACCCTCTCCTACTCAGAGATGGCACAGTCTGTGGCCTCTTAAATTCTGGCGTGACATTTAATTGATGTTTATCTTGTCATGGAAAATGGCTCATGAACAGAGGTGGTATTTTCACAACCACATAGAAATACTGGGTTTAGAAAACAAGTCTGACCCAACACAAAAGACTTCACTCAGCCCAGATAAAACACTATCAGCTAAAATCAAACATATTTCTGATGGTTTTCTATTTATATAGCAGTATAGAATAAGATTGTAAATCACTAAGCTATTAGAATTCAATTTTATACTATTTGTCATGCTGCTGACCAATATAGAGCTTCCATTTTTCCGTGAAATATGCTGCCAAATTCCCTGGTGCATCTGACCTTGTGCTTCTCATGTCCAAAGCTCAACAGTAAGAGTGCAGACATTCACGAACACTGTTCCCAGATCCTTGCTTCCCGGCCCATGCCTGAGGCTCGAGACTGGGAAACTGGGAGACACATTTGTGCTAAGATTGAGATACCCTACGCTCAGGGTCTATTCTTTATTTATGCTTTTGATGTTGAGAAATATATTAGAAATAAATCATGTGATGTTCAAGGACTGGCAAAGGACATTAAAAAAAACAGACAAGTTGGGAAGCAACTAATCATAGTGAGGAGATAAGACGGAGGAAATTTTGAAACTATAAGGCAAAAGGGTGGCCTAGTCAATGGGTAGGGACATTATTTCTAGAATAAGAGTGAAAAGATTTCCCTGATGTAAGAAATATCTCACTTGATCAAAATAAAGGAACTCCGATGATGGTTAGATACTAACAGGTAAATTACCAACACAGCTGTGATGCAGAAACTCTGGGATTCTTTCTTTCCTGGATGGAACTGGATAAAAGGGCATCTCGGGCTTCCCTGGTGGCGCAGTGCTTGAGAGTCCGCCTGCCGATGCAGGAGACGCGGGTTCGTGCCCCGGTCCGGGAAGATCCCCCATGCCGCGGAGCGGCTGGGCCCGTGAGCCATGGCCGCTGAGCCTGCGCGTCCGGAGCCTGTGCTCCGCAAATGGGAGAGGCCACAACAGTGAGAGGCCCGCATAACGCAAGGAAAAAAAAAAAAAAAAAAAAAAGGGCATCTCATTTAATATGCAGTAGGAGGTGATGTGGAGTTCTTAGTCAGCTGCTTACATTTCATCTCATTAAAGGAACTCAGAATGAAGAGTAAAGAAATTAAGTTACTGCTTCATGCTTTGGAAGATGGGGGGGGGAAGAGAAAGAAAAATGTAAAGAGGTGTCTTGTTAACTGCGGTGCTGTGTTTGTTTCCTAGTTATATTCTCTACCAAGAAAAACATGGGTAACGGTCAATAAGCCCTATCTGTGGTCTTTATTGAATTTAAAATAATGTATAGACAAGTGCAAAATATAATTTTATTTACGTGATTCTTTTATTTTTGACATATAAACTTTCCATATAAAAACATGTCCAGGACTTCACAACTACTTTTCATTTTCAAAAAACAAATCCAAACTTACCAGCCTTTTGGTTAAAAACAATAGGAATTTATCTGAGTCCAGTGTTCTTAAATCCCACTTAACACTTATCTGTGTGTTCTATGATGGCAGAACTTGCCAGCAATAGGGATACTGCTCTTAAGAAATTATACTTTAAAACATATTAAAATGTAGTTTTTGGCAGTTGGAGTGCCCAATTTTCCTTTATGGCATGGGCAAGCTTAAGAAAAATATTTTGAGAGCTCAGTTCTTTTCACATTAAATACAAGCTGAAAAGGTGAATGGTACTAGGCGAATGGTCAGCATGCCTCTCTGGTCATATGTGCGACTTCGAACCTTGTATGAAGTTCTGCTTTCAAAGCCGCTAATCCACGGGCCTCCATAGGGCAGGACTTGAGGTGGGCGGACATCTCGGAAATCCTTCGCCATCAGTTCAG